GTTGAAGGGACAATAGGAGATGTGATTAGTAGAGTCTTTGGGATGTGGATGTCTTACTCCTTAATCCCTCACTCATCCCCAAGTGGCTCATTAAGTGCTGCCTCCCTGGTGAAGAGGAGTGAAGGAATCAATTTATGCCAAAGTGGAAAACCGTTCCCTCAATAGATTGGAGGCCTCAGACACAACTTTTGTCCCATTTTTCATGCTGCTCTTTCAGCAGTCCCCAGGAAGATTAAGACCACTTAACCAGTTCACAAAAAAATTTCTGCCAAGAAAACTCTATGGATTTGTCTATGTAGTTACCAGAAGTCAAGACTGACTTGAAGCCCTCCCCCCTCAAAAAAGCCCCCAAGAACAACCACTAGCCTGCAGTCCAGGGATTTCCTGGTGGTTTCCCATCCTAATATTAACCAGGCCCAACCTGTTCAGCTTACAAGGTTAGTCAGGTCTGATATATACTTTAATAAGTCAGCACAAGTTTAAATACATTTTGATTTCTTTATTAATAGAAGATGGTTTCTGCACTGTGGCTCACTGGCTGGATTTCTCTCATTCATTTTTCATTCAGCTGTTGTAAGTATACTACATTTCTTTCTGCCTGATATCACAATGAGTGTCACATACCAACATTTGGGTTTTTCCCAACTCAGTTAACCAGTCTCCTATATGGTTTGTTGCCATGATAACATAGATTTTCAGATGGTCACTGGCCTGTAGAATTAAGGAGTTGGAAGGGTTCTTAATCACTGTAGGATCCACGATGATGTCTCTCTTTGAAGACCTCTAGAGAAGGAGAACCCACCACTTCATATTCAGATATTTGAAGACTATTCTCATATATTCTCTCAGCCATCTCTTCTGCAAGCTAAACATAATCAGTTCCCATTCCCATTCCATGTTTTCTGCCAGCTACACGATCCATTCTTCCACTTGTTTCACCACAGCCACTTGTTTGAAAATTAGAGAGCTCTTTTGGCTCTGTTCATTGTGTCAGCATCCCGACCATTTTCCCCATTCAAGATGTCAACAATGTTTCAACGCTAACCCCTGCTGTGATTAAAGGAAAAACCAAGTGCCATCAAGCAAAAATTTCAAAAAATTGGACAATTTTTAATCAACATTTTTCTCTTCTAGAAGCTGCGTCCCAGA